CCCATATCCCACCACAGTGGTGTCATGCTCAGGTCCCACCCTGTGCCATACATAACCAGCCACCACCTCCTTCCCACCCAGTGATGGCTATGCAGGTTTCAGTCCCTTAGTCTACATGAACACAGTCTACCTAAACAGGCTTTGCTGATGTCCAGACAGGGAGCTGCTTCATTGAAGAGCATTTGACATCTTTAGCAGGACACAAGAAGCTGGGAGGGAGCATAGCCAGGACAGCTGACCCAAACTGACCAAAGGGCTATTCCATACCATATAATGTCACGCTTGTGGAGAGTTAGCTGAGGGCGGGGGGAGAGCAATCACTGCTCAGGATGGGCTGGGCATCAGTCAGCAGCTGGTGAGCAATTGCATTGTGCATAATTTCTTTTATATATTCTGTATACTCCATTACCATTATTACTATTGTTGTTCTTGTTATTCTTTTCTTTTATTAAACTGTCTTTATCTCAACCCACAGGTTTTACTTTCACTTTTTGCTGATTCTCTCCCCACCCCACTGAGGGAGATGGGGAGTGAGCAAGTGGCTGTGTGGTGTTCAGCTGCCTGCTGGATTGAACCACAACTGTCCTTTTTGGTGCCCAACATGGGGCACGAAGGGCTGCATTAATGACAGATCTGACCAAAGTGTGTTAAAATGAATTTGCGATAAGCATTCATTGTATTAGTCTACTAGTCGCTGGTCACAATGTTGTTTTATTTGCTCTCAGGGTTGTTGTCCTTGTTCTTAGAGTTGTGCTATGTAACACCTTACCTGCTGTATGCACACCCTGTGGTGCTGGTTATCACCTATGGCAGGTGGATTAAGGTTATACTGTTTTGCTGTACTGTGTAATACTGGTTTATGCTATGACGAAATTATTCGCCATCAGATTAATCTCGTATTTGTACTCAGCATTCTCAGCATTACTGTCACCTCTGGATTTTGGGAACCATCTATTGGGAATTATCAATAATTATACTTTTTATTTTTTCTCCTCGGAGAGAGCAAACCTATGGGGGAGACACATTACTCCATCTTCCCCTTCTTCTCCAGGCTAGCTCTTGAGAATTTTACATATCCTTGGAGTGTTCAAACCAGCATGTTCCTATTCCTATGTCTCCTGAATGCATTTCAGGTCTTATTCAGGGTTAAACAACTACTTAAGAACACCATCCAAAGGTTGACTCCTGCAACAGGCACTGTAGCTACTCCAACTTGCGCAACAGGCACTGTGGCCACTCAAATGCTGGCGAAAGGCACTGCGGCTGAACCAGCGAACCAACCTGTGCCGATATCAGTTGTCCCTATACACAAGAAGAAATCTTGGAAGCGAAAGTCAGCTCATTTAGAAAGGCAGGATGAAAAAACAGGTCCATCACAAGGAGAGGAGGAGGAAGAGGAAGAACTCATAAAAGAGACAGAAACCACCTGGTCCCTATCCTTGAGTGAACTGTGAGATATGTGAAAATATTTCAGCCATCGTCCAGGCGTACACGTCATCACCTGGCTGCTCCAATGCTGGGATAACGGGGCCAATAACCTGGAATTTGAGGGTATGGAAGCCAAGAAGCTGGGATCCCTTTCTAGGGAAGGGGGCATTGACAAAGCAATTGGAAAAGGGATACAAGTCCTTAGCCTCTGGAGGCGACTACTGTCAGCTGTGAAGGAAAGATATCCCTTCAAGGAAGATGTTATATATCGCCCAGTCAAATGAACCACCATGAAGAGAGGTATCCAGTGCCTGAGGGAATTAGCTGTCCTGGAGGTGATTTATAGTGACCTTGTAACCAAAATGATAATGAAATTGTTATGTATCTTAGTTTTCAGCACCAAAGTGATGGGAGCAAACCAGTTAACTACAAAATGGAGCCTCGAATGTCGCTGTGCTCTCTTCTGCACAGCCCTACCCAACTGAACACTAAGTTTGGGACAATGAGAAGAGTATATCACGACTATGATCTGTAGTCTTAGGGTAATCATTAATGTAACCGAAACTATAGAAAATGTGCACCTGTCAAAAGAATAAGCTCGAAGGTAGTTTTGTGTAATGGACTGAGAAAGCTGGCTAGGACTACCAAGACTGAGAGCTGAGTAGGTAAGAGGTAATTCCGGCATGGGGAGATCACAACCACTGACTCATTGACCACCTACCCAAATGATACCACCTACTCAAAAGAGAACAATAGAAGTGTATAACTGAGTTTGCGCAGTAATTTACATAGGAAGTGAGAGGTTTTGTACCAATCACTAGGTAGAATGTTATTGATTATGTATGAATGTAATGAATATGCATGTTCTTGAGTTATATAAACTGATTGAAACAGGTGGTAGGTATGCACGTTAGGTGGAGCGATCCCCCGTGCATCCGGTGCCATGAATAAAGAATTCCTGCCTTTTAACACTACATTGGTGTTACGAGGTTTATTCTTCCCGATTTCAGTGACAACCTGAACAATGAGCAGTTATCCAAAGATCCAGATGGAGTCCGGTGCACAAGACCCATGTGGCAGAAGTTAGTATGGAACACACCAGCATCATATGCCTACTCATTGGCAATACTGAACTGGAAAGGTGAACAGGGACCGATGGTGGATGAAGTGGCTAGCCTACTATAGGAATATGAAGAAAGTGTCTCTTCCTCCCTCATTTCTGCTGTGGACAAATTGTTCCAGGAGGTCCAGCAACTCAAAGAGGATAGATCCTACTCCCCACCTGTATGGACCAGTATCTCAGCCATTAGGAGTAAGCGTCCCTCTGCTCAAGAAAAAGGATATTGAGGGTACACACCATGGGTCACACTATGGTTTTACCTGCGTGACTATGGAGACGACATGAAGAAATGGGATGGAAAACCTACCTGAACCCTAGAGGCACAGGTACCGAGTTGCAAAGAAAAATAATCACAAAAGGGGGTTCTTCTAGGAAACTTGCAGCTCCAGTTTCCAGAAATGGAGTAGACTGCAGTTGCTGCAGACAGAATAGAAAGGCTGATCTTATTTCTGATTGTGATGAAGGAATTCCTGACTCATATATGCAAAACATAAGAAACTGTGATCAGAACCAGAGGGGCCCTGCCTCCAGCCAGGTGGAGGAAAGGGACAGTTGGGTTTACTGAACTGTGTGGATTTGATGGCCTGGCACCTCACAGTTACAGAAGTATACAGCTCTAGTGGACACCAGTGCACAGTGTACTCTAATGCCATCAAGCTATAGGGGCAGAACCCATTTGTGTTTCTGGAGTGATGGTGATCTCAACTAACTGTATTGGAGGCCAAAGTGAGCCTAACTGGGAATGAGTGGCAAAAGCCTCCCCCTGTGACTGGCCCAGATGCTCCGTGCATCCTTGGTATAGACTACCTGAGGAGAGGGCATTTCAAGGACCCAAAGGGTACCGGTGGGCTTTTGGGATAGCTGCCTTGGAGGCACAAGAAATTAAGCAGCTGGTCTCTCAAAGGACCCTTCTGTTGTGGGGTTGCTGAGGGTTGAAGAACAACAGGTGGCAATTGCCACCACAACAGTGCACCGGTGGCAATATCGCACCAGCCGAGACTCCCTAATTCCCATCCATAAGCTGATTTGTCAACTGGAGAGCCCAGGAGCGATCAGCAAGACTCGCTCACCCTTTGACAGTCCAATATGACCAGTGAGAAAGTCTAATGGAGGGTGGAGACTATCGGGGCCTTAATGAAGTGGAGCCATGAAAAGCTGAAATCAGGACTCAATAGTCTTGATGACTATTAAGCAGGTATTCTTTATTGCAGTGCAGGGGGATCACTCCTCCTAATGTGCCCGCTGCACAGGGTTAATTGCATAGTTTATATACAGGTTTTACATACTTATTCACTACATTCCTCAGAAAAGGCAGGGATAGGTAAATTAACTCCTGGCAATCATTTACATATTCTCCTCCGAGTTGCACATGCTCAGTGGTTTGAGTTGGTGGTCTTCAGGGGTCACTTACTTCATCCACTCCTCTTCTTCATCTTGTCCCTTTGGTGAACTCCGGCTTTTACCCCCCTTATTCTGCTGTCAGAACAACACAGCCGGTACCAGCTGGCTCCCCATCCTTGAAACATTCCCCTTTACCTCCATATCTCGTGGTTCCCATCCCTGGCTATCCTCCTATCGACAAAATGCTAGACGTTTTGTCCCCTACATGCCTTCCAAGGCCGGCAACAAAGATAGGCAATTTACTGCAAATCTATTCTTTTTCTCTAATGATGTACATTCCATACACGGTTAGTTTCTTATCTACAGTTTCTTACCTCATATGGTTAGTAAGTTAACCTAAAACACAATGTTAGTACTTTAAGCTGTATCCTCCTCAAGGACGTTCTGTTTTCTCAGGGCTGTTATCACATTCCAGATACAGTTGGCTAACAAAGGTCTTTTGTTAACCCTTTAGCATCCTTTCAGTAGTCAGGCCACTGCTGAGTGTTGCCACGCCAGACATGTTAGAACTTCAGTATGAGCTGGAGTCAAAGGCAGCCAAGTGGCATACCACAGTTGATATCACTAATGTGTTTTTCTCAATCCCTTTGGCAGCAGAGTGCAGGCCACGGTTCGCTTTCACTTGGAATGGCATCCAATACACCCGGAATCAACTGCCCCAGGGGTGGAAACACAGCCCTACCATTTGCCATGGGCTGATCCAGATGGCACTGGAACAGGGTGAGGCTCCAGAGCACCTGCAATACATTGATGACATCACCGTGTGGGGTAACACAACAGAAGTTTTTGAGAAAGGGAAGAAAATATTCCAAACCCTTCTGAAGGCCGGTTTTGCCATAAAGCAAAGCAAGGTCAAGGGACCTGCAGAGGAGATCCAGTTTTTAGGAGTCAAATGGCAAAATGGACGCCGTCAGATCCCAATGGATGTAATCAATAAAATAACAGCTGTGTCTCCACCAAGTAGCAAAAAGGAAATACAAGCTTTCTTGGGTGTTGTGTTTTTTTGGAGAATGCATATTTGAAATTACAGTCTGATCATAAGCCCTCTCTATCAAGTGACCTGGAAGAAAAACAATTTTAAATGGAGCCATGAACAATGACAAGCCTTTGAACAAATTAAAGAGGAAATAATTCATGCAGTAGCCCTTGGGCCAGTATGGGCAGGGCAAGATGTAAAAAATATGCTCTACACCACAGCTGGGGAGAATGGCCCTGCCTGGAGCCTCTGGCAGAAAGCACCGGGGGAGACTTGAGGCTGACCCAACTCGAGGGTTTTGGAGTCAGGGATACAGAGGATCTGAGGTTCCGCTATGCTCCAACTGAAAAAGAGATATTAGCAGCATATGAAGGAGTTTGAGCTGCTTCAGAGGTAATTGGTACTGAAGCACAACTCCTCCTCACACCCCAACTGCCGGTGCTGCGTTGGATGTTAAAAGGGAAGGTCCCCTCTATACATCATGCAACTGATGCTACGTGGAGCAAGTGGGTTGCACTGATCACACAGCAGGCTTGAGTAGGAAACCCCAGTCACCCAGAAATATTGGAAGTTATTATAGACTGGCCAGAAGGCAAAGATTTTGGAATATCACCAGAGGAGGACATGGTGTATGCTGAAGAGGCCCCACTGTACAATAAACTGCCAGAAAATGAGAAGCAATATGCCCTGTTCTCTGATGGGTCCTGTTGTCTTGTGGGAAAGCATCGGAGGTGTGTTGCATTAAAGGTTAAAGTAATTTGGAGTGATGCCCAATTCGTCATTATAAGTCTGGTCATGTTTAGCGTACTGAACTATCATGGTTACGGATGCACAAATAATGTGATACACCTTCAGTCTAGTTGTGTTCCATGAACTACCACGGCCACACTTAAAGAGTTTGATCATGTTCAATGAGAACTATCATGGCTAGATTAATGAATAGTGCAGTTAATTAAAGCAACAGATACACAGGTTCTTTTGGATTATGGTGATAAATTCACTGTCTGCAAAGCACATGCAATTACCAAGAGTATGAATAACACTGCCTGGCTACAAATGCGTTAAAAGATATAAAGCGACTCTATAGAGATTTATAAGTTTCCCAGGAAGGCACTTGGTATAACCCAGTGTTTGAATCCTACCCAAAGGTGTCCTGATGCGGGGGAAGAGAGGTTCAGCCTGTTGACTGATCCCAGAAATCAGTGGTACACAATGATGGTATCATCCCTAACATCCTCTCTCTCTTAAGATATTTCATATTATTTTTTACCTTTCAGGTGGAGCTTGAGTGACTCTAGTCATATGTACCTTTGTTATGTTTAGTGTAAAACTTTTTTGCCTTGCTTTTAAAGGTATAAACTAGAAAAATTCAAAGTGCAAGCTCAGTGAGGGGTGGTCACACCTTGGAGGCGGGTAGCCTTTGGGATGAAGGTGTGTTTTGGTATTATAATGATATCATAATGAACAAAGTTTACCAAAGGACAGCATTTTGTCAAAAACATGACAGACTGTTGGCCCAGGGTAGCAAATATGCAGCTTATCGGTTCCATGGTACCTTCAAGTTCCCATAATATCACAGAGCCTGGCCATCGTGTCTCCACTCCACTCCACCCTCCGTGCAGTTCCTCTTAGAGTCAGCACACCAAGTTCCCCTGGTTTTGCTAACATTTAATGTTGCAGGCCTAGGGAACTTCTGTGGAACGGATTCCTTGCAGGTTAGCCGCACTCCACCCTGGAAGCTTCTCCAATGCTGTACCTTTCTTTAAAATGTGACTATATGTTTGATTTCTAAGTCACCTTCGGCGATTATTCCACAAAGTGGAAGGCTGCTATATGGAGCCCTGTATGACAAGTCACAGAAACTGCTAAAGGACAAGGTGAATTGAGTCAGTTTTCAGAGGTGAAAGCCATCCAGCTGGTTTTAGATATTGCTGAATGAGAAAAATGGCCAGTGCTCTCTCTCTATACTGACTCATGGATGGTGGCAAATGCCTTGTGGGGGTGATTGCAGCAATGGAAGCAGAGCAACTGGCAGTACAGGGGCAAACCCATCTGGGCTGCCGCATTGTGGCAAGATATTGCTGCGCGGGTAGAGGACTTGGTTGTAAAAGTATGTCATGTAGATGCTCACGTACCCAGGAACTGGGCCACTGAAGAACATCAAAACAACCAGCAGGTGGATCAGGCTGCTAAGATTGAAGTGGCTCAGGTGGATCGCCTCCCAGGCTCCCTCACCTTCCCAGCTGCCCTTACATAACAGATATGGGGCTCTGGAAGTCGAGGCCAAGGCAAATGAGGATGGGGATGAAGGTCCATCCAGGGGGTTGGCTAGGGAGAGTAGGTCACCCCTACCTATCAGGACTGCCTGTGCTAAGAAAAAAAGAAGGGTAATTGTTGGGGGCAATTCACTTCTGAAGGGAACGGAGGGCCTGATATGCCGACCGGACCCATCCCACAGGGAAGTCTGCTGCCTCCCTGGGGCTTGGGTCAGGTCCCTGAATACATTTTTATAAAAGACAGCTTCTCAAATAATAATCCAGGGGAAGGTCAGGTAAAAGATAATATAAAGTTGTCCCTATTAAATTATGGGTTTTCTTAAATTCTCATCTCTCAGCTACAGCAATGACCAGAGAAGATGAATCCTTCCCTTTCATCCCTCATCCAAACCATTTAAATACTACCATAAGAAGTATTCACAATCTCTTGGAAGTAAGAAAATTCTACTTAAATTGTGCATTGCTTTTATCTTGTTCGTAACTCAATTATGTCTGAAGTCAGTACCTTTTGGCAAATGCCAGGTTCTGTGTCTTATCTTTATTCCTCAGGAATACTGCCAGTTAAATACAAGCTGTTAAAACCTATTACTGAAGGAGTAAGTAAGAGGAGTTGGTTTACTACGGTTTAGTTAGACCTATGAAAAAGCCAGTGCTTCCACTTGGTCTTTGAAATCCAACATGGATGTTGTACAGAAAAAAAGCTGTTACTCTGCAAACTGTACGTCAGGGAGATTTGATTTGCATGCAATATACAATGTTTATTTCCCTTTTTTCAGTTGTTTCACACCTGTATAGCTCTGTCACTGTCACATATAAAATGCTGATATTGCAATTGTATAAATATGCTCCATTTTTAGTCATGGTTGCTTATAAGCTAGGCAAGACATGAGTGTGACAAAAGCATAGAATTCTATTGCAGAGCCTTCAGTGTGACTGTGGAACTTCTTCATGAATTTCCTACTGATGCAGTATGTGAAACTGGGTAATGGTCTTGTTACTTGCATACTACATCATCACATACAATCTATTGTTGGAACCAGATCACCAGCTAAAGTTAGTAATACGCTGCCTATGACAGGGAAAAAAAACCTAATCAAAATAATCAAGAAAGTGCGTACCTTCACAGTTAAATCCTCATTTCCCAACGTGACGTGTACATGAATTGGAGGATAAATGCATCGATCAGCATTATGTTCCATGGTGGCTCTCATTGCATTCTGCAATTTTCAAGTACAATTTAAATCCTGTTCTTACTACTTCCCTAAATTGATGTTTTAAGATCATATACAAAGTTATTTTTATCACGTATTTCAGAATCAGGACAAATCTATATGGTTTTAAAATAGAGTTTTCTTAATATTTCTAGTTTACGCAGTGTCAGTATTTATATAGTTTATTAGAATACACAGACTTCAAATATTTTTTTAGAACATCTGAATATTTTAATGTAGTTTTATTTGTAGAATTCTTTATAATGCATAGTAGATGCAATATGACAAAGATCAACAAAAAGTCTAGGATTGAATTGCTTGAGAAAAGCTCTATAGGACCTGTTACACATCATACCGGATTTGAAGATGTCCCAAAAATCACTTCTTCTATTAGTTAATGTCTTTATACATTTTAAGATTTTTTTCACAAAGCTGTCTACTCAGAATGCGTCAGATGTATTCAGTGGCTAGGCAAAGGAGGTACCTTCTTCCAAAGCTGTTCATTTTCTATACAATTACTGTTTAAATAGTACAATTTAGGTATCTTCCTGCAGTCAAATAGCAAAAGGTTTGCACTTGCAAAACCACACCGCTATCTAGAATTGGTTCAAAAAGTCAAACAAATACAATCTCACTAAACAAAGATGTACAAGAGTTGTGTAATGGTAAGTGCACAGACCTTGAAAAGTTCGAAAACCATGTGATAAAGATGTGATGGTACATAGACCACTTGCATGGGCTGTCCTGGTGATTTAGCTAGAGAAAAAAAGAGTAAATAATTAAATAGCAAACTATGTATCTTTTATTCATTCCCACAGTAATTCATATTTGTATTGTTGAGAGAATTTACAAGAGAAGGAAAATTTGAACATAAATCTTTTGAAAAGCTGTATGTTAACCAAAAGTCATACTCAAGATTTTCGAATGTGCTTGCTGCTTTAGAAATTAATCTTAAAACCGCTGTGGCATCACTAATTAGGGCATGTAGTAGTTGCGTTCTAATACCTATGAGGAGGTTATCATGAAGAGAGTCAGGCTCTTCAGGTGGTGGGAGAACATGAAACAGTGAATGTAAGGTGAAATAACAGATTCAGACTGGATGCAGAGAAAGACTTTTTCATGACAGTTAAGCATTGAAACAGGTTGCCCAGAATCATCATCCTTGGAGGATTTGTAAGACGAAACTGGATAAAGCCCTGGGCACCCTAGTCTGACCTCACAGCTGTCCCTGTTTTGAGCAGGAGGTCAGGCTAGAAACCTCCTGGTAGCTCCCTCCCACCCAAACTATCTTACGATCCTGTAATGCATCAAATAGTTAACTACAGTGCAGCCTATTCTTGGATTAATTTAGCTGATTTCTAACAAGAAACCTTAACAAAAAATATGTAGTCAATTCTGTGTATAAAACTGGTGTAGTTTTCAAACCTTTTTTAAAGAATAAATTCTAGAAAATGTATCATGGGAACACATTCATTATACCAAAAATTAAGGAAAGGTTGCTCAGAAAATTCTGCTGGCTCTTAAAGGTTCTTTCAGTTCAACAAATTAGTTATCTCTCACCAGACTGTTAGTGACCAGTGCTTTATGAACATAAATGTTGAAGACTAATGATGTCAAAAGATCTAGAACAAATTATGTACCCAGCAAAAATGAAAGGGGGGTGGGGTGGGGGTGGGAATCACACTTTGAAATATGTCAGGTTCCTGTCCTCAAGTTAACTGCGTCCCTCCGTGCCTCCACCCCCAGATCCCATGCCTGAGGTTTAAATAATGGTCTTCACTCTCAGCTGTGGGCAAGGAATATGCATTTGGCCTGGATAAGGTTGAACTCACCTTCATGATTCATTGAGCAAAAGGTCGCTCCTTTTATAAAAACTGAACTATTTGTTCTGGCTTCTGGAGCACATACACCATTAAATGACCCCTCAGTACAGAGAATTAGCTAGCGTGACTGACAGTTCCCTACAGACATTTTTAGTATCATGCTCCGAAGATGAAGAGAGGTAAGCCCTTTAATCTAGACACAGAATGACAGGTTTTGTACAGCAGGAAGAAGAGATCTGGAACGTGTAATCAAGGCCACACTTTCTTTGCCTTTAGCTTCATAGGCAAAGTTAATGTGGTTGCACTTTGGCTTTCGCAATTACTCGTAGAAGCAATTTTGATTGCTTGTTTTTGTAGGTCTGTCCGAACTTGAAAAGCACTCTAGTGCGTAGTGCCAGAAAGGCTCTTTAGCATTCAGGACTATGAGGACAAGAGCTGACCTCTGAGTTGTAAACTGTTTGTTCAAGTCACAGCCAATGGGTTCAAATAATTTTTACCACATCTTGAGTATACTATATCTAATTAGACATCAAGAACATGATAGCTGAATAAGCAAGAGAAATTAGAATGGAATTTTTAGTATAAATCTTAAAAGTGTCACAAGAAATACAGAGAGGGTGAGATGCAATAGACAGTGTAAGGTCAAGACATACAAAAATCTTAGGGATAGAAGGAGGCTGCTAATACCTGTTACGTCAACAGCTGTAGTGTCAAACACTTGTGTACTGATTTCAGTTTTCTAATTAAAGGGAAGAATAGGGAAAGCCTTTTGCCAGATTAAAAAAAAAAAATAAATCCCAAACTATGACAGTAGATACAGAGAACACATTAACTACATGAAAAGTGGAATGAGAACATTTCACCACCAGCTACTTTAGACAAAGCCATCACTATGTTCACAAGAGAGTGCTTTGTCCCATATTCACTTACCATTCAACTCTTCAAGGATGAGTTCTGGAGAGCTCATGTAATATAAATCACAAAGTCTCTTGGCACTTTCATAGCCATCTATAATAAAACCACACAAAGTCACCTTTCCCCCTCCACTTTTTGTTTTCTCCTTTACAGTTTGCCAAAAAGAAAAACAAAAATTGAAAACACCATGCACTGGGAGGGAGATTTTGTATTTTCTCACAAAAACTAGGTTTATAGGGAAAAGTGGTAAAACTATATTAAACTTTAAATGAAACTTCTGCCCCGGGTAGGAAAGAACTAAACAGTATATTAATATCAAGATGTATATTGGCTCTCACTATAGACATTCATGTAAGTTTTCAGGATTCTTGTTCTTATTTGCTGAATTTACCTCTAACAACTTCAACAACATTGCAGCTAGGATCAATGCTTCCAATGTGTTTTGGATGAGCTGGATTAATTTTCCCACCAAACAGTAAAGCTGTCAAAAAAAGAAAATATTATTTAATACCCAATATAATTTTGTAATTTTAGTTTGTCTTCAGTTTTGCTAAATAAGAAATGTATAGGCAATCTATAATTCCAATCTTCACCATACTTTAAAGCCTACTGTTAATAAATATTTTAAGAATTGTGTTAAGAATGAATGTATAAATAGCAAGGCAAATAGTGTACTCCTAAGGAGAATTTAAGTACATATGAAGCACTTACTTAAAAATGAAACGAAAATATACTATATGTTAGGGACATGGTTTAGTAGCGGGATGGCAGTGTTAGGTAAAAGGTTGGACTCAATGATCTTAAAGGTCTTTTCCAACCAAAGTGATTCTATGATACTGACATAGTACAGGTATCATTTCCCCTCCTTTCAACAATGGCACTTACAGTGTTGATTAAGAAGCATTCTAATTGAAATGCGACTCATGTAGAAACGGTCTAAAAAATACTGCACGTTCTGTGAGGTCACTGGATCAATGCCAAAGCTTTCCTTGTACTCTATTACTCCTTGAGCCATTGTAGGAATTACATCATTGTGTCGATTCCGGATTTTTATCACAGTATCTGTAAAACTAAAATGAATACATTTTTAGTATTTCACTTTCAAGTTAATTTAATACTCAGGCAAACAGAATATCTGCCTACAAAAATTAAGACCAGTATGTACAGAAATATCACCGGTCTCCCTACAGCAATAAGAAGACAGGTCAGTCTTTACAGCATATTTCAAGCAACTAGCACTGAAACAATCAGTAATCAACCATTACTGATTAATTATAAAATTACTATTTATTTATCATCTTGATTACTGCTAAGAAAACTGTCCCAACATTTTCATGCAGATCATCCCATGCGTGTCAAATGGCAGTTATGATCAGCCAACGATGACCAGACCTACTCTACAGGTGAAAATTTCCATACATCAGATCCAACACTACAAGTAAGGAATTGGTAAACATTTGGTCAAGGGCTAAGTACTGGGACCAGTTCTGTTTAATATTTTATCAGTGATCTGTATCAGGAATAGTGTGACCAGCAGGACAAGGGAAGTCATCGTGCCCCTGTACTCGGTGCTGGTGAGGCTGCACCTCGAATACTGTGTTCAGTTTTGGGCCCCTCACTACAAGAAGGATGTTGCATTGCTGGAACATGTCCAGAGGAGAGCAACCAAGCTGGTGAGGGGTCTGGAGCACAAGTCATACGAGGAGCGGCTGAGGGAACTGGGGTTGTTTAGTCTGGAGAAGAGGAGGCTGAGGGGAGACCTGATCGCCCTCTACAAATACCTGAAAGGAGACTGATGAGGTGGGGGTCGACCTCTTCTCCCTGGTAGCAGACGATAGGACGAAGGGGAATGGTTTGAAGCTGCACCAGGGCAGGTTTAGGTTGGACATTAGGAAAAACTTCTTCACTGAAAGGGTTGTCAGGCTCTGGAATGGGCTGCCCAGGGAGGTGATGGAGTCCTCATCCCTGGAGGTATTTAAAAGAAGGATAGATGAGGTGCTTAGGGACAGGGTTTAGTGGTGGGATGGCAAGGTTAGGTTAAAGGTTGGACTCGATGATCTTAAAGGTCTTTTCCAACCAAAGTGATTCTATGACCCTAGCCCAATCCTGCAAGGCTTTTGCCACATCCTATAGGCAGGCGTTACCTGTGGGGACTCCAACCCTGTAGAGGTTCCTCTCAGCCCAACTCTGCGTAGCTTTCGCTGCACCTTACAAGCAGGCTGGTAAGACCTTATTACCTTTCCAGGGGACTTGCTCGGAATTCTTTGGTCCGGGGATCAGAGGTTCTCCTCGAGAACCCGTCGGTGCCGGCTGGAGGTCCTGTGATCCCACGGAGTCCCATCTGGGTCGCCAAAACTGTCACTGAAATCGGGAATAATCTTCGTTACACACATGTAGTGTTAAAAGGCAGGCATTCTTTATTCATGGTGCCATATGCACGGGGGATCACTCCACCTAGCGTGCATACCTCTGTACTATCTCTTACAGTTTAAATACATGTTCTATATGAATATTCATGGTTTATGCAAATTATTTCTAGGAATAGGTGGAGAGTTCTAAGAAACCATTAACATATTGTCCCTCCTTTTTACACATGCACAATCTGTTTCGGTGGTCGCATCTGGGGGTCTTTTGGATGAAGGCAAAACATCTTCCTCACTTTTCATTTGTCACCTTGCAAGGCCGGCACGTCCTGCCAACTGTCCATCTGTTACTTCTCTTCCTTTACCTTCCATGTGCTGTTTGTTCTCGTTTCTCCTACTAAGTACCTACTGACTTTAGCAAAGCATCAGCAAACTAGACAACAAGGCCTAAGACTTATGCACATAGGCTGCTTACATCATTGTTAACTTTAACCCTTAAGGCATCACTCCCCCCCTTCTGAAGTTTTGAAATAATCATCTTTTCAATACTTCCATCGTAAATCAGTGTCTCACTGCTGATGATTCAATTGCTTATTACTCACTACGTGATGGTGGGAGTGTTGTGATGACTCTCTATTCCTTAAAAAAGGAAGCACACAGTAGCTGAAAACTTTCCAAAAATCACGCTTGGTTACAAAATTAACCTGAATTAAACCTTTGATAGCAGGACAAAATTCAGCTGTGTGTGGACTGCAGAAGCAGTGATGAACCCTCTCCTTTCTCCCTTTCTCCACACCACTTTCTCAGGTCTTGGGAGGAGAAGAAATTAATAAAGGTGAAGTTCCTGGTGCCAATGCTTGAACTCTTCCACACGTGTCTGATGTAGAGACCCTCAGCTGCAGCTGAATCTCCTTGGGAACACTGCAAGGCAGTGGCTGAGATGTTATGGGATGTGTGCTGATGCCCGATACTCGAACAAGAGAAGAGTGTGAGCAATTGCAGGGCACTGCAGATAATGTCATGGGTTACCTGGCTCATGGATTTTCTTCCCAAGGTAGAAAGTACCACAGCAACCATCTCAGAAACAACCAAGGAGGATATAAAAGAAGCAAAGCATGGCCAGTGTGAAAAGGATTAACAAGTGTGGTTGATTGACCCCAGCAGGTAACAAATCAGCCATCCAGGCACATGCTCACTCCCCCCACAGCAGCATGGGGAAGATAATTGGAAAGGAAAAAGTGAGAAAAAAGTCATGGGTTGAAATTTAGAAAAGTCAGTAAGTGAAGCAAAGATACATTTTCATGTAAAGCAAAAAAGGAATTTGTTCAATGAACCCTATTGGCAGGAAAATGTTCAGCCATTTCCAGGAAAGCTTCCAGGCCTTCATCACATGCAACGGTGACTTGGGAAGACAAATGTCATAACCACAAAAGTCCCCTATGATATGGAATATCTCTTTGGTCATTTGGGCTCAGCTGTCCTGACTGTGTCCCCTCCCAACTTGTTGCCCAGCCCCAGCCTACTCATTGGAAGGGCAGCCTGAGAAACAGAGGTGGCCTTCATGTTGCTTCATGTTCAGCAATAGTTTTAGTCACAAATCCAAAACATGGAACCACGTGGGCTGCTAAGAAGATGGTAAAATCCATCCCAGCCAGCCAGGGTAGGCTGGACATTTTGGAAGGTATGAGAGTGATAACAGTGAGGAATCTGAGAGGAGGAAGAGGGAAGCAGTAAATTAAAGATGAGGGCAGGGATGTCCTGGGGGCTGTTTGGGGTGCCTGTGATTCAGCCCTGTATGTGATGTGAATGATTTCCACAGTCAGAGGCAACCTGAGTGCTTTCTCTGATGTTGAGGACATGAAGGGTGAGGAATGGGAGTGTCATTCAGGCTGAAGACACCTTGCTAGATATCTGTAGAAAACATCTAGCTCTAAGCAAAGACACACCAGGTTCCTCATGATTTGATCCAGATGGGTCTGTGAAACTTCCAGGGTTGGAGGCAGTGCACACTCTCAAGGAAACAGCTTCCCATGTCTGACTGTCGACTCATTGCCAAAATTTCTCTCTATATTGAGCCTGACCCTCTTGTGTTTCAGTCCATTACCTCCTGTGCTCCTGCCTTGCACCACTGTGTCTTCTTGGAAACCTCACCGTAGGCAGTAGAAGTCTGTTACATCCTCCCAAACAAATCCCTCCATTCTGCAGGGTGAACAAGCCCAGCTCACCCAGCCCCTCCTAACAAAGCAAGTGCTCCAGCCATGCCCAGACCTCCACTGACTTTTTGTTGCCCTCTGGCTTGTCAGTGTCTCTCTGGCATTGTGGGGCACCAAAACATGGGCAAGGATTCTGGATGTGGTGTAACAAGCGCTGAGCAGAGGGAGAGAATCACTTCCTGTGGCTGTGCTCCTGCTCAGACAGCCCAGGAGGTTCTTGGCCATCTTTGCTGATGGCTCATCTTTTGCCTAAGGTAACACAAAGACCAGCAGACCCTTTCCTGTGGAGCTGACACCTGTCTGGGCAGTCCCTGTCCTATGCCATTTCAGAGCTGACATCCAGTTTAGGAGTAGGATTTGGGTTGAATCGTCACTGGGTATCATGAGGTCCTTATTGGCCCATCCCTCCAGCCTAAGTCCTTTGGGATGGCAACCCAGCCCTCCAGCCCTGCCCTGCTCTCCTGAATAGGATGTCTTCTGCAAATGTTATGGAAAAGTACTCTCTCATCTCCTCCAGGCCATTAAAAAGATGTTAAACAAGGCGGGTTGCAAGATAGACCCCTGCAGGACCCTACTATCGAGATGCCTCCAGACAGAGCACCATGCGTGTACCACACTCCTCCAAGCCCAGCTCTCCAGCTGTTTTATTACTCAACTACTTACCTGCCCATGAAGCCCATACTGTCCTAATTTGGACACAAGGAATGTATGGAAGTATGATGCTGACAGCCTTGATGAATTCCAGGTGGAAAAACATGACTGCTTTCCCCTCATCCAGCAATCGAGACCTGTCATTACAGCAAAGCAAAGGTGGCCAGGAAGTACCCAGTTCTCTTCCAGACACCCAGAAATGGGATCCAAGTAGACACGCTCTGGGCCACAGCCTCTCATTCTCCTGCTCATCATTTTGGCATTATTGAAATGTGCATGCAACGTGTGGCTACTGGCAGTCATCATGGAGTCCCCACAGTCTCTGTGACCTTTCAAAGGCAATGGAGAGTGGCTTCACTGTGACATTGGCCTGCTCACTCAGCTCCCTGGTGTGCTGCCCCTCCTCTCCCAGAGACTGGTAAGGATTGCGTTTGTTCAAGTGATCCCTGACTTGATCCCAGTCTACTGCTGGTTGATCTCCTCCAGAGTCCTGCCCTGATTCACAGAGGTCTGGGAGGCCTTGCTGGGGGAGACTGAGGCAAAGAGGACACAGAGAAGCTCAGGTCTATCTACACTGTCTCTTATGAAATTCAGCAGTGGCCACACAGTGTCTGTGTTTCTCCCTTAACTGCTCCTGCAGTAGCACACACTTGAAGGCCGGCTGGAGTGAGCTCTGCAACCATGTCACAGCTCTGTCTCCTCAGGAACGGCTCCAGCTCTTCCCGCCTGTGCCCCTGGCTGAGGGTATTGCTGCACATCTGGGCTGCAGCCCTGCAGCCACGGAACCAGGCAAGCTCTGACCTCTCATAAGGAACCTGGTACCGAGCATCCATGACCCCGTGTGTGCAAAGACTTTGCTTCAGAGCAGAGACGTGGCATGGACAAGAGAGAGCTTCATGTCTTTCCAGCCCTAGAACTGCAAACCCAGAATGAAATCCCTAAATTCACTCAATAGAATGCATCCTTCCTGCTTGGAGAAATTAGAACATTCCCTGTCACCTTCCTGGAGTCCTGTCTAAAGATTTCAAAGAAAAGAGATGTTCATGTCCAACTGTTTTACTAATAATAGCAATGACGCTGCAGGAAAGAAGTGTCCCTCCCCAGCTGAGGGAGGGAACATCAGGGATGACCTCAGCCTGTGTCACAGCAGGTTCCCCTGGAGCCCCAGGGACACCTGGAGGGAGCCCTGAGGGGGCAGAGCAAGTGCTGCCTTGGGCTGGTCCTGTGCTGCTGAGCTGTGCTGGGCTCCTGGGATGGAGGGAGCTGATGGCAAGTGGGCAGCGCTGTCAAGAGACAGCTCTGCCCGGGAGCAGCTCCTCTGCAAAGCGCAGCAGGGCTGAGGGCACTGCCTGCAAGTGCTGAGGGGAGAGGAGTGAGGCAGAGAGGATATAAATGCAGTCTGGGGTGGGAGGATGCTGAGTGCTCGCTGTGGCAGAGATCTTCACAGCCCTCTACATGGTAAACCTCTGGGTGAAGGACAGTGTAGCTGGTATTCCTGAAGGATATCCAAAAGCTGGTACATCCCACAGCAGATGTGATCTTTCAGGAGAACTCTCACACTTTCCCTAGTGCAGAGGAGGAGGACGTGCTGCAGAGCAGGGCTTCCCTGCTGCACCCTCAGAGGGACTGGGCATGATGGCTGCCTTCTCCCAGGGATGGCCGCAGGGTGTGAAGGGTGTGTCCAGCAGGGGTGACCAGGGCTGTTCTTCATAGCAGGGTCCTGGTGCACCAGGTAGGGTCATCACTCAGCCTGCCTGGGGAGCACCCCACACGCTGTGGGGACAAGCTGTGGGTGGAAGTATTAACCCCTGTCTGGGTATGCCCCTTTGTCTGTCCAGAGGGTGCAGTCTGTTTCAGGGCTGCTCAGACTTCTACATCAGCCGGAGTACATTTGCAGAGGGTCACTTTGAAGATGGATGTCAAAGTAGAGGGGTGCCTAAAAGGGTAGAAATCTGTGCTTTGAGTTTTCTCCTCTTGGTCGGCTGGGTGGGCAGTGGGAGATTGGAGTTAATTTCTCTGCTCTAGAGTAGGCAATGAGACCCCAGATCTCATTAGCATTTGTCTGAGCTCCTCCTTACCCCCTGCACACACAGAGACGTCCCTGGGCAGTGCCCTGCTGCCAGGAGGGGTCTGCAGGGCAGAGCTGAGCACACAGTGGGTGGGATGGGGACTGTGAGCATGCAGAGGGAGGAGATGTGGGGACAGGGAAACAGGTTCTGGCCAAGAAGAGCTCCAGGCAGCAGAGCCATGGGCAGGAAGGAAGAGAGAACTGCTGCCAGAAATGCCGTGGGAGGAGGGATTCAGTCATCTCCCTGCCATCCCCTGCAGTGCAGACCCTTTCCCTGGAGCCACCCCCTGGTCTCCTCACTCACACAGCAGAGCCCCTGCCCTCAGAGTCATGGAGACTTGGCCAGGAGTTGCCTTCCCAGAAGCCTGACCACCAAAGAGGACAAAACCCCCTGTGTCTGACTGTGTCTCCCTCTCCTGCCTCCCTTGCAAAGGGGTCCTTGGGTATCTTCTCCTCTGCTCCCTACCGTCCTTGTTCTTACTGTTACACTCCTGTTACTGGGGTGTTTGGGGAGGTGAGGATTCAAGTGCAGCTCAGACACCAACACTGTGTGTGCTGCCATGCACATATGTCCATGATGGAAAAGCATCCCACTCACCCCCTGTGGACCTCTGGGGCTCTGGGTACTGCCGTGTGCGCGGCTGGCAGGGATCTCAGCCTCTCTTCCAGATGTAACAAAGGCAGGAGATGGGACTTGTTCCTTGAGAGGTCCTGCTGCACTGCAGGCTGCCCTCCTGGAGGGCAAAGCTCTCTGGTGGTGCCTCTGTGTTATGCAGGAGCCCCCTGGAGAAGATCCCTGGGTGCTGAAGGCCACAGAAATGCTGCCGGGTGGCTGTAGGTGGGCAGCTGCCATGAGCCCTGGGTGTCCCTGGTTGGGAGGGCAGAGCTGAGATCCTCCCTCAGGTACAATGGGCTGGGGCGTTGTCCTGGTTTCGGCTGGGATAGAGTTAATTTTCTTCACAGTAGCTAGCATAGTGCTGTGTTTTGGATTTAGTACCAGAAGAATGTTGATAACACACTGATGTTTTCAG